CAGAAATGAAAAACTTCTCCATAATGACAAAATGAATTCACAGAAGTCCAGGGTAATGTGGAACAAAACAAAAATGCCAGGAGATACTCTAAATACTAGCTTAAAACTAAAAAAAAAAAAAAAAAAAAAAACCCACTGTCATTGAGTCAATTCCAACTCATAGTGACCAACATTAGTTTCCAAAGCTACAAATTTTTACTTCCTCCTGTGGAACAGTTGATGAATTTGAACCATTGAACTCCTTGTTAGCAGCCAAATACCTTAGCCAGTATGCTATCAGACTTCCAGCTTAAAGCAGATAAGAAATTCTGTTCTTTGCCTAAGTATATATCTGTGAATTCCTGAGGAAGCTAGAGAGATTCTTATTCTAGATTCTCCAGAACCATCCCCAAATATACACACAGTTCTCAGGAAGACACCGACTGATCTTTTTCCTCATTACCCTGTAGTTTCCGAGAGGATAATGCAATCCATTACTAAAAGTCTCAAGAAATCTAAAAAAATTGCCAGAGATATGGTATATTTTAGTTTATATTAAGAACCTATTTATCAAAAAGCATGTGTCTGCCTAGAGAGTCATCTCCCCAGAGGAAGCTTAGGGTCCTATATGTTTCTGTACAACCCCAGGTTAAAAACTCAGCCCAGAAGGACAAATTGTCTTTCTCCCTTTCCTCAACTCTCCTTGTTGGAGTCACATATACTTCGTTTTGTGGGAGGTGGAGGGGGTGGCAAGGAGATAAGGTACACTAATAGCCACTACTCTACCTTATTTAATGTGAGAATTGCTTTAGGCCTTTACTCTCAGGTTGTTGTTGTGTTTTTAATCACTTAGTCAAAGTGAACTAGATATCTGCTCTAAAGAGAGTTTCTTGAGTAAAAAATAGCTGTGGGATAGAAACATTCCATGAGTTAAAGCAACATGACATAGTTAAATGCCCATGTACATGTATACACATACACACACACTCATACTCACTCACTGAAAGAAAAAAATGCAAAAGCCATGTCCACACTTTCTTTTTCATTTTGAACTGTACAATTTTTCTAGTGTAGTTTAACTTCACAAAAGTGAATTTCCTTAATCTATAATAATTTGGAGGAGCTCTGGTGGTGTAATGGTTAAGGCATTTGGCTGCTAACCAGCCAATGGTCAGTAGTTCCAACCCATCAGCCATTCTGTGGAAGAAAGATGAGGCAGTCTGCTTCCATAAAGAATTACAGCCTTGGAAACCCAGTGGGGGTGGCTATGAGTCAGAATCGACTTAATGACAGTGACTGTGGTTGGGTTTATAATAATTTGGGGTTAATTAGTTTTATTTCACATGAGTTATTAAAATTACATGATTAAGATACAGTAGATATGTAAAAATACTTTACACATTATGCTCAAGACCATAATAAATATAATACTGTAAAGAAATATTATTGCAAATTTATACGTTAAATCCACATGTTAACTAAAATCCCTTGAATGTCTGTCTTGTTGTTAAAGAGACATAGCTGTAAGCCAAACCAAACCCACTGCCTTAGAGTAAATTCTGACTCATGGTAACCTTACAGGGCAGAGTAGAACTGCCTCATAGGATTTCCTAGGCAGTAATGGGGGAGGGGGGGATGGCAGCTCTGGTAGCATAGTGCCTAAGGCACTTGACTGCTCACCAGAAGGCTGGCGGTTCAAACCCACCAGCCACTCCTCGGAAGGAAGGTTGAGCAATCTTACTTCCGTAGTGATACTGCCTCGGAAACCCAAGGAGGGGTCGCTATGAGTCGGGGCCGACTCGATGGCAAACAACAACAATGGGGGGGGGGGCTCTAGTAGCATAGTGCCTAAGGCACTTGATTGCTAACCAGAAGAAAGGAAATTCAAACCCACCAGCCACTCCTTGGAAGGAAGTTTGGGCAATCTACTTCCGTAGTGATGTTGTTGTTGTTGCTATGTGCAGTGAGTGGACCTGACTCATAGCGAAGCCTCCTTGAGTTTCCAAGGCAGTATCACTTCCTTCCATGTATTTTAGTCTATATTAAGAACCTATTTATCATATCATATCACTTCCTTCCCTAATGATACTGCCTCGGAAACCCAAGGAGGGGTAGCTATGAGTCGAGTCGGACTCAATGGCACATAACAACAACAACAACAACAATCTTTACGGGAGGAACTCTGGTGGCATAGTGATTAAAACATTCAGCTGCTTACCAAAAAGTTTGGTGGCTCAAACCCACCAGCCACTCTATGGAAGAAAGATGAGGCAGTCTGCTTCCTTAAATATTTACAGCCTTGGAAACCCTATGGGGCAATTCTATGCTATCCATGAGTAGCTATGAATCCAAATCAATTCAATGGTATTGGGTTTGATTTTTGGTTTAATCTTTATAGGAGTATATCACCAGGTCTTTTCTCCAGCAGAGTAGCTTATGAGTTTGAACTACTGATCTTTCCATTTAGAGCTGAGCACTTAAGCACTGTGCAACCAGGGCTCCTTATATGTAAATTTGCTCTTAAAATAGCTAGGTATTATATACAAGATTCTGCATACATATATCATTTTAAAATATGCTACATTGTGTTTTAATGACTTTGGGAAAAGTAATAGTCAAATAGCATTTAGTGTTTTTTTTTTTTTTTTTTCTGTCATTTGACAAAGCAAAGTATAATTTCAAAGATGTTAATCTAAAGGGTTATATAAAATTTCTAGTCCAGTAATTTGACTTAATTGTAATCTTTGTTTGTTTGTTTCTTTTCTTTTCTTTTTTATTATTATTTAATTTTACTTCCCTTCCTCTTTCTTCCCTACTTCCCCCTCAGAGAGAGAAAGAGAGAGAGGGAACAAAAGAGAAGAGTTTGATCAAATTGTAAATTTTCAAATCATGAGTTTGGATATTAGGAAAAATAAATCGGTGTTACTGTCTCCAGTATCCAATTTTTACAGTGATCTATGACTACCCATCAGCACAAAGAGTTAAGAGTCTGGACTTAATGGTCCGTATGCCTCAATATGTGCCAATAATGCCAATAATGCCAATTAGCACCCAGGCACTTGAAGGCGAGAAGAGCTCTGTAGAGTTCCTGGTTTTTGCTTGTAATACATTTTCTTTTGCCTGTGTCACACAAGCAGGGGATAAAGATGATGGGTTAACCTCAATCATATGCCATTTTCCATGTCAACGAATCATTTAGAAGGTGGACTGATATTACTTTGTAGGGAAAGAGATCCCAGAGTGAATTAAACCCATCTGATGTATTAGTGCTATGTAAATTAGTATTCTAATGGCTAATTGTACAAAAGTGCACACTTTGAATTATTGTATCATTTTCAAGTGGCTTTAAAATTTAGACCCTTCTCTTTTAGATGGTTTATTTCAGTAATATATTTGGATGCCGTACGAGAATTAACTTGTTCTCAAATTATGCTTCATATGTGTAGAACTGTCTAGCTTCATACAGTAACACAAATTTTATAAGAGGGCAATAGCATTTTGAAATTATATTCCTGACATGTTAGCAAACATCACTTCTTTTGGAAGGGGTTTAATAACATGGTAATGTTTATGTAAAGTGGGCTTATAGTGTCACACTTGAATCTAATAAAGTGGACATCCATCATGTTGCAATAAAGAGAAGAGCTTCTAATTAAAGTAGGACATCATTTGCAGGATTAAAGTCATTTAGTGTAATTGAAAAGTGTTAATGCCCTATTTTATCCTCTTCCATTGGTATTACTTCAAGGGTAAAAACATTTTAAGGTGAAAATGTGTCTGTGCCTTTAATTGAATGTTATTACCTCCTGATTGTAGCGTATTGAAACTGTTTAATTACAAACCTGGAAAATTAATTACTATATTGAGAAATAAGTCCCAGAGGGTTATAATGTTCTTTTTTGTAAGTAAATACAACGTAAAAATTGATATGTCCTTATTTATAATCCAACTTGGAAACATACCTCAATATGATTTATTATACCCAAATGTTTTTCTTAATTGAACAACAGTAAAGCAACATAGGTCATCCAGGTTAACATCACTGTGCTCATATAAGAACTTTTAAAGCTTTGCAGTTAGGCTGTATGTATTTATTATGAGATACTTGGTAAACTAATTTTTTAAAGTTGTGTTATGGAAACCTTTAAGCTTAGCATGTATATTTCCAGAAACATTCTGCATTCGATTTTTATTTTCAATAATTTGTTTAATCTTGCTTAAGTGTAGCATTTGTTTGTAGAAACTTCTGAAGCTATTATGTTATATTGAAAGCTTATAGGAAAAGAAAATTCAGCTGTCTGTATCAGTTTCAGTCATACAATTTTGAACACCTTTCAGAGAAATTTAATTGAGCCAATCAATTATTTCAAATGATCAGAAGAAATTATATTTGGTATTCTTTAGTTCTTTGCAGCTTTTAAAGTACATATATAGTTCATACTACAATCCTGATTTTCACAGTGTCTTATGGCTTGAGTCAGAATAACATTATAATGCCATTTTACAGATGAGGAAACCAAGTCTCAAAAGATATTAAACAACTAGCAAAAAGTAAGAGAATGAATAAATGATTAAGATAAAGATACAGATATTTAAATTTGCAGATGATTGTTTCTTCTACTAGATCATGCTTGCTTCCTAGAGAAGATTATTTTCCATGATTTTGATAAAGTTTCTCAGTGAAATTCACTGCATGACATTTATTAATTTCAGTAGCACTTTTTGAAGAAATCTCTTCTTCCTTTTTCCAACCAAACCAAAAAAATAAATAAATAATTCACTGCCATCAAGTTGATCTCGACTCATAGCGAGGCCTTCTTGGGTTTCTGAGGCAGTATCTCTATGGAGGTATATTGCCCAGTCTTCCTTCCAAGGAGTGGCTGGTGGGTTTGACCCACCAGCCTTCTAATTAGCAGTCACATGCCTTAGGCAGTATGCCACCAGAGCTCCCTAATAGCTGTTTTATTTTCCCTGCTGAGTGAGGGGAAAAGAAATACTCATGAGATTGTGTTTGTTTCCACAGAATCTCCTCTTCCCAAACCAACCCCAGCAGCCTAACAGTAGATGCTCAGTGTCACCAACTGGAGATCTCACCATTACCAACATTCAGCGTTCAGATGCGGGTTACTACATTTGCCAGGCCTTAACTGTGGCAGGAAGCATTTTAGCAAAAGCTCAACTGGAGGTTACTGATGGTGCGTTATTATTATTATTAGACTTGTCTTATGAAAATAGTGATTTTATCTCAACATACCGTTAACCACATAAATTTTTCTGATTTGTTAATTCATTTCTGTTAATGCTTATTTTCAAAATTTGAACCTATGTAAAGTAGCTTTCTGAATAATTCTGATTCTCCCTGATACAACACCATTTATTTTCCCAAAGAAGAGCATCAAAGTAGAATCCATTATATTCTTAAAATAAATGGCATAACAATGGCAGTATATAGAAATATATACTGCATATTTTTATGTAGACTTATGCTGACATGATTGTTTCTAATGGATATTAATCATTTTGTTTTATAAAAAGAGGAGGAGATATCACCTTCAATATTATCAGTAAAAACAGGGGTGTGTTTTTCGTTAGCTAATGACATGATATTCCTATGACTTTTTAATTACATATTCACTGAGTTTAATTAAATGCCTACCAAACTACAAAGGAATGCAAAAAATTAAATTTTTACTTGCACATATATACTATGACTTTTAATGAAAGAAGCTACATTTCTAATAACAGTTGAAAGAGATATAGCACTCTTATCATTTGATTTTTTCCCCACAAGCTTATTTGTCATAATTGGCAGTGAGGTGGTTGTTGTTGTTATGTGCCGTCAAGCCGGACCTTACTCATAGCCATCCTTCCTTGGGTTTCTGAGGAAGTATCACTATGGAAGCTGATTGCCCAACTTCCTTCTGAGGAGTGACTAGTGGATTTGAAGCATCAGCCTTCTGGTTAGCAGTCAGATGCCTTAGGCACTATGCTACCAAAGCTCCTGGCAGCTAGGTGGAGCTAGTTATTTCATGAATCTTTCAGCATGAACTTAATACCTATCTTTGATTTCTTAAAATTAAGAATTATTTCTTGTGCTCTTATATTTGTGAGTTTTTAATTTTATTTTGTTTTTGTCCTGATGCTAGCTTCTCAGGTATTAGAGCTTTGGTTTATGACCTCTTTGATTCTCTTCTTTCTCTGCTGGTGACAATGTGATGCATTTTCATACAATTCAAATTTACATGTAGATTAAAAAAGTCATTTAAAATTAATAGAAAGGCAGTATTTTTAAATATCTGTCCATAGTATTGCCTGATTCATTGCCATGCCAGGAATGGGAATAAATAGAACAGACAAACATTGGCTGCAACGACATTGAGTTGTTAATGGCTGCACCTGCTGATGCTGCAGAGATTTACTGCTATGGAGCTGAAAGGAGAAGTCAGGTTCAAGGGTAACAGTGATGAGACATTCTTCCTTTTGATGTGCAAGATCTTTGATCGTTTGTACCTCTGCCGTTCTTTAAAAGAGTAAAGATTATTGTTAATCTTTCTAAGTTCTTATGTGTTCTATTGTCAGCAAAAATGGCCACAGACTTATACTTGGAATATAAAATATTCTGGCCAAATCATAATGTTTATTCTATATTACTGTAAAACATCCCAAGCATAATGAATTAGATCCCTATTTTAATCTGGTTGCTTATAGTATTTTACAGGAGATAGACTTTAAAATGTTTCCAAATTAAGAAATGGTTATTGAAAAGGCAAACCATATTTGTAGAAAACAAAACTGATATATTAAAAGCCAGTTGATATAACTGATATTGTTCATGAATACTGAAATGGTGAATACTCAGAACATGTCTGAAGTAATGAAAAGGAAACATTTTCTTTTCACAATGTATTTTACTTGTTGTATAATCTCAGAAATAGTAAATTATTCTAGAATTATTATTTCATTTCTGACATTGAAATTAAAAGCATGATGAGCAAGTTAAAATCTTCTGATGACTGAGATGGCTCTATACACTTTGGTTCAACTGACTTGGATATTAATTCCCACATTGATTTTTACTTAAGTAAGCAATCACAAAGTCAAGATCCTTTTGCAGCCACCATTAAATAGAGGTTATAAAAGTTATTGATTTTTGACAGCAAAGAAATCTAACTTCAAGATATATATATATATATATATATATGTGTGTGTGTGTGTGCACGCTTTGGAATTTTCAGATTGGTTAATGATTTAATAATATGTGAGCCATCTTTTTTCAATATTTTTTTTTCTGTGTGATCCATGCCAATTTAGAGCCAATTGAAATTTCAATGCAGAATGAAAACATATATTCAGAGAAATGAGTGATTAATTGTTCCATCCATTTCAATGTTTCTATTATTACATTTTTGCACTTAGACTTTTTTTCCTGGAAATATTTTTAACTCAAGTGATCATATAAGATGAAATTGCTAATGGTTAGTTAAGGTGCTGTGCTGAGTGATAATTTTCCTGATTATAAATTGAGCTAAGATGCTTCAATGTATTTGAGTTTTAAAACATTCCTATAAAAGATTTTTCTCATTAATTCATTGGCACTGTGCTTCACGTCTTCTTTTCTTCTACCCTACCTTTTTCTCTCAGATAATTAGGAAATTGTAATGAGAGGTCTATGAGTAGAACAAATAGCATCTCAAAGGTATATAGAGAAGAAATGTATTCATATATTTTATTGGCAATAAATGTCACACCATGATCTTATATGAAAAGTTTATTGAGGATTTATAATGCTTAGTTACTGAAAACCATGGAGTTATTCACAGATCACTGGAAATCCTAAATGTTCATTTAACCTTCGACCTTAGTGTCATGGAAACCTCTGGTCGTCTTTCACCCATAACATCCTTGAAACTAAAAATTCCTTCTGGCCAGGAGATTTTCAATTACATTATTGATCAAATTCATTTAAAAGGCGATGAGCTATTCATGTCAGCAGTAAAAGAAAAGAAAAAAAAAAAAAAAAGGAAGGAAAGAAAGAAGCAAGGGAGAGAGGAGAAAGGTGGGAAACAGAGAGGAAAGAATGAAAGGAGAGAGGGAGGGAGGGAGGAAGGAAGGGAAGAAGAAAAGGAAGGAAAGAAAGAAGCAAGGGAGAGAGGAGAAAGGTGGGAAACAGAGAGGAAAGAATGAAAGGAGAGAGGGAGGGAGGGAGGAAGGAAGGGAAGAAGAAAAGGAAGGAAAGAAAGAAACTAATCAGATGTCCCTTGGCAGAATTTGGGGAGCTCTGGTGACATAGTACCTAAGGCATTTGACTGCTAACCAGAACGCCGGTGGTTCAAACCCACCCACTCCTGGAAGGAAGACTGGGCATTCTACTTCTGTAGAGATACCTCCTTGGAAACCCAAGGAGAGGTAGTTGCATTCAACTCAATGGCAGTGAGTTTGGTTTGTAGGGTTGTTTTTTTTGTTGTTGTTGTTTTTGTTTTTTGGCAGAATGTAATCGTTTCAGGGATAAGAAAATAAAGGGAAGAGTTGTAAGAGATTACTAGTGTTCTATATAGATGTTTCATTTGAAACAAAGAAGTAATGTTAATTAAATTTTAAGAAATGAGTCTACTATGATAATTTAGATCCATTTTTTTTCCTGAATTGAAAACTTGTTTATAATCTTTGCGAGCTACTCTTTCTTTTTTTTGTCTCATATATAAAATATATTCCATTAAATTTTCAGTTTGAATCCTGTTTGCACAATTATTGCCAGATGTGTGATAATTATTATACTATTGCTCTTCCACATTCTCTTAAGTTTATTTTATTTACTTCTAAGTTGAAGAATTTGAAAGAAAATTAGTGTAGCAAATGGTTTTAATTTTTGTTTTTGAGCAAGAGACAAACAAGAATTTCTTGTTTTCTTAGATTTTTAAAGTTTGTATGTTATAAGATTTTATATATTCCTGCCAAATAGTTGCCATTGAGTCAATTCCAACTCATGGTAACCCAATGTGTGTCTGAGTAAACCGTGTTCCACAGGGTTTCAATGGCTGATTTGTTGGGAGTATGTCACTAGGCCTTTCTGCCTTTACTCCTCTGGGTGGATTCATACCTCCAAGCTTTTTATTTATTAATCAAGCACATTAACCAGTACACCACACATGGACTTATTATATTTCTACATACATACATATACACACAAAAAAACCCAAACCCAACTGCCGACGAGTTGATTTGACTCATAGCGACCCTTCCTTAGGTATCTGAGGTGGTCTCTACGGAAATAGATTGCCCAATCTTCCTTCTGAGTAGTGGCTGGTGAGTTTGAACCTCCAGACTTCTGGTTAGTATTCAAGTGCCTTAAGTGCTATGCCATCAGAGCTCCCATATATACACATATGTATGTAATGTATGTGTGTATTCATAAATACATAATTTGACACACACATATGTATTTAAATACATATCTTGATATAGTAGGTTTTGGAATCCTAGTGGCACAAACAGTTAAATGTTCTATTACAAACCATATGGTTGGCAGTTTGAAACCACACAGGGGACCTTAAAATGAAAGGACTGGGGATCTGCTTTCAAATGGTCACAGCTCTGAAAACTGTGGTCAATTTAGTTTGACTGGAACTGCATTGTATCTTATGCCTTTAACTTCTACACTTAAATTAAAATTGGTTAAACTTGATGCATATTGATTATTAAATCCAAAAAACCAAATTCACTGCTGTTGAGTCAGATCTGACTCATAGCAACCCCTCCTTGGGTTTCTGAGGCAGTGTCACTATGGAAGTAGATTGTCCAAACTTCCTTCCACGGAGTGGCTGGTGGGTTTGAACTGCCAGCCTTCTGGTTAGTAGTCAAATGCCTTAAGCACTACACCACCAGAGCCCCTTGATTATTAAGTAGATAGTCATGTAAACTGGTATTGATTAACTAGTGGGCAAAGGAGATTACAGTATTAAGCAAAATGAATTTTATGGTTATACCTATGGTAATACAAGATGACCTTCTTGAGAAAAAAAATCTACTAATTTTAAGATGGAGGAAAGTCCAGAAGACATTGTATCTCATTACTATTGATTGGCAGTAGTATCAAAATCTATCCTTTTTTTTTTTAATATTGTCTTTATGGCAAAATGCATATTATGGATAATTAAAAGAACTCTAAGTTGAAATTTATGAAATTTTCTCTTAAGAA